TTATTAGGTAATCAAATAAAAATAATAATAACAAGACAAGTGTTGACAATTTTTAGACAATCTATTTTAAAGAAACTTTTGAAAAACCTCAAACTTTTATAGCTCAAGGACCTACACAATTTTTCTAGATAGCGATCCAAAAAGAAATCTCATTATTCTGGATCGAGGAAAATTTTGCAAGATGTAAAGATCGGCAAATAAATCTGACTCATATTTGAATCAAGTTCACTTAAATTCGCAAAAACGTAGGTCACAAGAATTAGTAAATTTTTGAGATCCATAAATGTCACTTATATATGAATAAATGTCATTTAAATATGAGTGATATTTTCTCATATTTTAGTAAAAATTTACTCAAATGCGAATTTTAGTGAACGGGACTCACATATGAGTAAGATTTATTTGCCGAGTAGAATATTTTGCTTAACATCAAGGAATCGAAAAAAATGAAAGATTCCGGGATAAATTTTAGAGATTTTGGACCAATTTTTAAGCAATCGAAATCTCTAAGACAAACAAGTTAAGAAACGGCCCAGAATAATTTTCATATGTTTAATATACATATGAGACATTTAAATACTTCTGAAACGTAAATAACATTTTTTGATCTTGGACATAGATTTTTTTCTAAACTGTAGTCTTGGAAATGTTTGGACGAATATTAAAGCTACCAAGCTTCAAAGATTTTCAAAATTATAATCTTTGAAAACATGTATAGCGCAAGTAATTTTTTCTAGACTATTTTTCGAAATATCTATGACTTGGAAAACTTCCAAGATCACGAAGTAAAGAAAGTTGGAATCAGATTTTTTTTTTCAAAACCTCTGAAAATTTGCGATATAATTTTCTTTTACTATTTCGAAATTATGTAAGGTACAAACCTTATCTTTTCCAATTTCATTTCAACATGCAAACTACGTTCCCACGAAACCGACCAACATGAACAGACAAAGCTATCCCACGACGATGAATTTCAAAAGACATTAACGATCGACCCAAATTCACAAAATGCATGTTTGCAATACGAGACTTTACCAATATTTCACTCCCAGCGTAAAGCAACATTTTCCAGAACCAATTTCCTAACACCAAAGACAACTATCATCATTTCACACTTGAGATTTCGAAAGGCTAATTTATTGCCTCAGAACGAACAAGTGACTATGACCATCCTAACTGCATACCTATCATATTCCCACCACACATGAAGAAACCAGAACGAAAACGTAAACGCTGACATCCACTCGAAGCACGCGACCGACGACAAACATTCCCACGGAATAGGAAACTCACCCACGCGACAATACATTTCTCCCTTTCGCGCGCATGAGCTTAAGCCACCCGAGCGCACGAAAGAAAGATGCATAATAATAACCAATTAGGATCGAGACCGATTTCTCTCTCCGATCTATTTCCCTCTTCGTTCCCTTAATGAAGTACTAGAATAAGCTAATCCATTGTAAACATAAAAACCGTTTGAAATAAAGAAAATCAGAGAGTCTTGATGCAAAACTTGTTGTGATTATGTTCAGAGAAATGATGACAGCTCCTGAAGAAAAGGCTTCAGACAAGAAATGAACAGTGTATGACAAAAGTGAGGTGATTGAAAAAATTCCAATCTAACCATTCTTAAAATAGGACAAAATAGGACAAGTCCGATGTCCAAATGGCGACCGTGATGATAGAGCCTGAAAGTGATCTATGTGATTAAATTGGATTAAGAGACGAGAAGTGAATCCAAAAAGCGCTACCAGTGATATAAGTGGTCGAAGGAAAAACTTAGAAATTTTATAATCTGGGCTGGAAAAAAAACGAAAATAATGGACCTGAATGTCTAGATCACGAAGATGAAAACTAGTATGAATATTAGTGATTCCATCAGCACCAACTCTTCTTTGTCGGATTTTACATGCTGATTTTTAATGAAGCTTTGTAACACAAATTTGTTACCAAATCAAGCTGTTACTTGATGTGATTTTTTAAAGGCATATTATTTTTACTCTTGACATTATTGGTCGTAAAAAAGTGACTTTAGTGACTAAATTTTAAGAAATAGTAACTTTAGTGACTATTAGGTGGAAAAAATGACTTTTTAGTGACTGACTTGAAAATAGTGGCCAAGTCACCAAAAAGTGACCTGCTACCAGCCCTGTGGTCCCAGAGCCGGTATCCAGTGGGTGAGTACCCAAGCATAACGCACTTTCGTCCAGTCGGATCCAGCTTACCCCACTTTTGTTTTTGGTACCCTAGAGAATGCTTGGCACCCGAACACTCTAAGTTTGGTGACATCTGGCTTCTCTCCATGCCATTGTTTCGCAGGCATCTGGTTCCCTTTGCTTCAGGTGGGCTTCAGTTGGTAACGTACACCGCATTCACCCCATAGATATTTCGGCACACTTCATTCCGTCAGCATGGCTCTCATTTTCTCAACTATGGTACGGTTATAACGCTCCGCCACACCATTCTGTTGTGGGGTGTACCCCACTGTTGACTCCACTTGAATGTCTTGCTTCTTCTAGTAGGCCAACTGCTCGTTCGAATAATACTCACGGACAAGATCACACCTCAAATTCGCTATTTTCGTTGCGAATTTTGCCGTCGCCATTGCTTCGTATACCTTGAAATAATCGAACACCTGTTCCTTTCTTGCCATTAGGTGAACGACTCCGAAGTGCGTGTAGTCGTCCACAAACGAAAGAAAATAGCGAAAACCATCAGATGTCGCCGGAGTTATCCACGGAGCGCGCTTTCCATCTACAAAAAAAAACAGATTGCCCTTCGACTTCGCAACGCCAATTCATTATCTTTCGTAAGGATGGCAAGATCCGGCATGAATTCGATGTCCACACCAGCCTTCAGCAGCCTTGCCAACGATAGCAGATTTTATTTCAGCTTTTTGACGAAAAGCACGAGTCCGAATGACAACGTGTACCGGTTCTTTCCGACACACAGCTTACCCTTCACGGTACCTTCCTTGGTGGCTACCAGTACCTCACCATCCTTCGCACTATCGATGTGCAATGGCTCGTCTAACTTACGGATGTCGTGAAAATAATCCTCACTGCTTACCATGTGACAGCTAGCGCCCGAGTCCAGAATCCATTCGATTTCATCCTGCGCATGTGCCTCAATTGTTCCACCTCCTTGTCCATTGGTATCTTCGCTACTTGAGCCGGATCGGATTTTTCAGGTCGTCCTTTCACCTTGGGACAAGCAAACTTCTTATGCCCTTCTTAGCTCTCAACAGTAGTAGTAGTGGTTTTCCACGTTGATTCCTGTTCCTGGCCGCCAACACCACTCCGTCCATACCGTTCATAGCACTCGAACCGGATTGTTTTCCAGAACGCTTTTGTTCCTCCGCTAGAAGGCGTGCTTTGACGGTTTCAAGCTTGAGTTGTTGATCGTCCAAATTTTCCATCGCCGTGGTAACCACGTCGTAACTAGGTGGCAACGAAATAAACAGTTGACTCCCGCATCCTTCAGCTGTCTGAAAAGCTCATATATTTCTCAGACTCAAGACTGTTGCTCAAATAGTTGTTCATAATTGGCGACAGCCCACTATCGTGGAGTTTATCCGAAAGGACATTGATACAAACAGAATCAAAAGCCCACTTAATGTCCGAGAAAACTGAACTCATTTGCTGTTTTTGCGCATTGACCAGTTGAATTTCAGTTGAAAGCAACGCAAGACAGTCGCTCGTTCCTTTGCCTCTCCGAAATCCAAATTCCGTATCTGAAAGTAAACCATTCGACTCGACCCATTTGTCTATACGGAAAAGAATCATTTTCCCCAACAATTTCCGTATACAGGGCAGCATTGCGATGGGACGGTACGATTTATAATCCGACACGGGTTTACCGGGTTTTCGAATGGCGATAACTCTTACTTGCCTCCAGTCCGAGGGGGGCGACACATCTAAATCGCAAGTTTATATGCTCAACAAATCTCACACTAGCGAATCAATCTTCGAACAATCTTCTTTCATTTGTCGCATCTACTTGCATCGATCATCAAGTTTTTGCAGGAAATCTTCAGAATCGTCATCAATCTTCTTTCTATCTACTCAGCGTGCGCGCAAGTAGCTACAGCAAAACACAATGTTTTTTGCATCGTAGATAGAGTCGTCCCCCTCGCTCCAGCCTGGGAGATTTTAAGCAAGTTGTACTTGATTCTATCCATTCCTGGAGCTGAGTTGTTACATGAGAGGAGAGCAAGTGAGAATTCCACCATCGAAAACGGGGAATCTTTTTCGTTACTACCCGACGAACGATCACGAACGTTGGTTTGAACCGACACCGAATCCGGGCAAACTTTCCGCGCGAAGGTAAATATCCAACTGTCTGAATACTACTTGTCTTCGTTAACCGGTGATGACGCGTTTCGCATTCTCCTGCCGACAGGTCGGTGTACCACTCGAAATCCCCAACCTTACCGTATTTGCGGAAGCGTTTAAACGCGGCGGACTTCTCGCTGTTCACGTCGGTGCAATCCTTATCCCACCACGGATTGGGAGGTCACTTGCGTACGGAAACACCCGGAACATGTTTCGTTTGTGCTCGCAGAGCAAAATCGATGATGAGACGCGCGAGAAAGGAGTACTCGTCCAGCGGAGAAAGTACGTCAACCGATTGACTGGCATCAAGAGCCGCGGTCGCGAATTTTCGCCAGTCAATGTTTTTCGTAAGATCGTACGCGATGTCAACCGAACGAGTAGAAGATGAACCATTGGCAATAGAAATTTTGATTGGCAAATGATCACTACCGTAGGGATATTGGATAACTTTCCACGAGCAATCCAACGATAGTGCACTCGAAAAAAGTGAGAAGTCTATATTAAGACAAGCAATGTCTGAAATTACAGATATATAATGCTTCGAAAATATTGAGATTAGTGCTCTTGAAATTGCGAAATGAACTTAAATGACCAAAGATAGTTCTGATTGCAATGCTGAACAACTTAAAACTAAAAGCCAGAACAAAACGAACATCGTTCACTTACCCTGGTATCTGAATGCAGCGCTCCACTCTGTATCGCATCTCCTGTGAAAACTCGGCCCACAGCTGGGCCACGGCACGCTTTCCTCCATAGTACGCATTGCATACGGCCAGCAGCGTTGCCAGCCGATGGACCAACGAGTCCGGACATGCAGATTTGATCTTTAGCGGATCGAAGTCCGTTTGACCTGCCGAAGGCATAATGTATTCATGAAGTGCATCCTTTTGCGCATCCGGAAACAGGTAGTACAGCATATCCTTCAGCTGTTCGTCATTCAGTGGACCGTCCAACTTGTGCTCATCTTTCTTCGCCCCAGCACCGGGAGGCGAGATTCCCGGAATCACGGAAGCTAACGTTGGAATCTTGGACTCAGTCAGACGTTCCAAAGCCTTCGTACCTTCCAAATTCTGCGTGGCTCCGAAGGCCAGTTCCGGAAAGTATTCGGTTATAGCGCGACGCGATCCGCAAACTTGCAAAAACTCCTGAATGCAATCGGACATGTAGCATACCGGAGTGTCTTCGAACCGTGCCCGAAGGCTCCAGACTGGAGCAGTCAACGGATCGAAATCGGAATAGGTTTGAGAATCAATCACGACATTGTCCGCCACGTGTGGCCATGTGCAATGCAGTACCAATTCCGACACCGGATCGATCGCCACCCCAAATGGAAGCGAAATCTTCATGTTTTCTTCACCGGTTTCCTCGGTTCCATTATCGGAAAATGGAACTTTCTTAGTGACCACGTAGGAAGCACTCAAACACCCCGTTGTTTGCAACGAATAGGTAAACCGAACCGAAACAGCAACCGGATCCATGTACGGGATTCCAACTTTGCCCTTGAAAACGTCGAGTAAACCCGAAAGATATTTGCACGTCGGAGGCGTAACATTCAAGTGCACAATGTCAAACGACAATCTCGTCGATCCGGATTCACAAAGCCCCAGGAAAACGTTCTGCACCTTATCCAAAACCTGCACAAACACCGGAACATCGCAGCTACTCTCCGACACGGCAATATGGATCGAACTCATCAGAATTCTAATTTGACTCTCGTTGGTAATTGAGTTCTTCACCGGAACTATCACGACGAACTCCCTCAATCCGTACCACTGGGCCAGCGGATGCAAATCCCCGTCCACCTTCTGGTCAACAATGCAGTAATCATTTTCATTGGCCATCAAATCGACAAACGCTTGGCAATCTCCGGCCGGCTCGTCACCTTCCTTCACGACCAGCTCTTCCTCAGGGACATTGGCCTTGAACCGAAGGACATCCAGTTCGACGTCGGCAAACTTTATCTTCTCCTTCGATAAGGTCCACTCACATAGCGACAGCTGATTACGTTCCAGCGGTCTGCGACTGCCGCACAGACCGTAGGACAATTTCCATTCGTGGAAGATTTCCTCCAACCGCGCGTTGAAGATCTCCCACTCAGATGCGGTGGTGAAATCCTGCTGGAAGAATTCAGTGTCGTCCACTTCTTCGTTCAACATTGTTACGAGTTGAAACACTTTCACAACCGTAAAAGGGCTCTACGAGTTTCACAAAAACCCCTAACTTTTTTGCGTTTAGCCGAACGATTCACGCGATTCACGATTAGAACAAACTCGCTGATGGACGGTCCTGTGTTGTTATTATTTAGAAAATGCGGATGTAAACAAAAATCTGTTATCAGTATACTGCAGAACGAATGACAATGCACAATGAAATGTGAGTGCGTTGGTGGTGGGATTCGGACAATTACACCGCCAGTTGGACTAATCGAGTGATATGGATGGAATAAATGAAAATGGTCCTAGTAAAAATTAGAGTACCAATAATAAGCTATTATTTCCGTTAAAGTTTTCCAATAAATCGATCATATCAACTATAAATATTTCGTGCAGGAAATTGTAATCACGTGTATGCTGAATTTCAGAAAAAAAAACAGTAGAAGGGTCTGTGCCTAAGGGCACGAACAGAAGCTTGACGTATGACCGCTAGTGGACGGAATAAATGTGAAGAACATTTAGTTCTGATGCTCAATTATCTATTATCTCAACCCTTTCCGTTTTTTAATTGTACCTAGGCGTACCAAATTCGTGGAAATTTTTTTCAAAGAGAAAGTTGATTAAGAGAATCAATCAAAATCACTTGCACCCCTGCTTCCAAGTTTGGTTACAAGATTACAACTCTGGAGAGCATTTTGTGTGGTCGTTGGGGGCTTGTGGTTCTGAATATGGACAAACAAGCACAGATAAATTCTATTCCAACTCTTTACTGATGTAAGCTTGATGGCCCTGAAAAGGGCCGATTTATTGAAGAGGACATCCATGGCCACTTACGCTTGGCGTGTTTAGTGTAGGTGAGAGCATCACGGACCTCATTTTCCAGGAACATTTTCAGCACACCTCGTAGATCAGACCGGAGATACGTTTGACACCACCACGGCGAGCCAGACGACCGATGGCGGTTATCTCGAAGAACTTTGCGTTTGGTTCTGAATATGGCGATGAGTGTGCAAAATATTACGCTTGGCGCCTCCTCTACCAGAACTTTTTCTCCTTTGCCACGACCAGTCAATTGTTGCTTGTTAGATGTGAAGGAGTGGACTAGCCACCACCTTTCTACTGGTGCTATTGCTGTTCACCACGCCGTCCGAAGCAAAACTGAGCTAATTTAAATTAAAGCAGAATGATGTGTAACCAAGCGGTATAAAAGCTACAAAGACTCCTCCCAATCTGGGTACTTCGGACTCTCTCAATGTGCTTGTCACTTGGGAGCCAGTCAGAACTGTCAAACGGGAGCCAAACATTCAGAAGCAATAAACTCAGTTACTGTTCTTACCTCTCGTCAAGCATTGCAATCTCATAACATACTTTTCATAAAACATTCTTAATTGTAAGCTCAAAGACAAAAACCAACAGGCTCAATGATGAAAGTATAAAAACCAGCATAGTTTTTATGACTCAGCTGAGTTTTCAATTGCAGTAAAACATACTTTGGCGAAACATGTATGTAAACAAACTTTGATAGACTCATGGGGGCTCGAGCACTCCTGGCTCAGAACTTTTGGCGGGAATCAACTGAGAAAGAACAAACAATTTTAAACTTGAACAAATTTTCAAGCAGTTTTCCATTGGCTTGCAAAATGAAATCGATTTACTCCGCAGTACTCAGCTCCCAATATGAGTAGTTTGCTATCAAGTAGCGACACAGGCTCTTTTCCTTTTGCGTGCACGGCGAATGAGAACGACCCAAATTTGAGTTTAGTTCACTCATAATCGCCAAAAGTGCAGGAACTCAGCGATGAGTAAATTTGTCTCATGGTTTCCTGTGGAAAACCTAAAATAATCTGCTAAAAATGACGAAAATTTTATTCAGTCTCGGAGTAGTACCAATAGACTGAGTGAATCCAACCTTTACTTTTCTCAAATTCTGGGATTTTCCCCTTCAAAAATCCTGGAAAAATCTGGGAAAACATGAGGCAAATTTACTCATCGCTGAGTTCCTGCACTTTATTTCTTATTTCTGAGATAACTAAACTCAAATGTGGGTCGATCTAATTCGCCGTGATATCACCTTGAAAGATATCGGCGCAGGTGGTTAGCGTGATTACCTCTCACCCAAGCAGGCCTGGGTTCAATTTCAGTCGGCGCCACCGGCATGTTCTAAGGCATAACATCTCTGATCACGCCTTCCTTCGGGAAGTAAAGCCGTTGGTCCCCAGTTAAGTTGATGGGTCGATTGGTAGGGTCCAGATTATTATTATTATTTAACTTTATTAATGAGGCTTTCAGCCTTGGGCTGGTTCGCCTCCATAGGGTCGAGATGTGGGAGCTGCCTTCCAGGCGTCGGTAGCATTGGAGCTCAGTACGGAAAACAAATCTCGCGTCACTTTTCAATAGGTCCTATCTACATTGATTGATTCTCTTGATCGACACTCTCTTTCGTAAATAACTCGGCTTCACAAATGTTTCCTGTCGTATTCATCGAATTAGATGCTAGATTGTTACTTCTTCCATCAAAAATATCCGGCCGTGGCGATTCAAAGTTGATCAAAGTTTGATTACATGAATATTTTGTGTGATCGTTGGTTCTGAATATGGACAAACAGGCAGATGAATTCTATTCCTACTCTTTACTGTAATAAGCTTGGTGGCCCTGAAAAGAGCCGTTTTGTTCCCAAAGTTGGTGATGATTTAACCTCCGAACCCAAACAGAGTGCGTCTCTATCACTTCAAAACGTAGATGAAATCCATGGCCGCTTACGCTTGGCGTGTTTAATGTAGGTGACATCATCACGGATCTCATTGTAGTTGAAATTCTAGTACTACACTATGTTTGTTTTAATTCGCTATGAAAGTTTGACAGATAAAATGAGGGGTTGGTGGATTTTCCTTTGTTTCGAGGGGTGCATCGATTAGCTTGGGACCAAAGAGAGTACCAGAGCTGAACCAAAAAGTTGGGCACGTTTCTTCGGGACCTTCTAGTCTTAGAGTTACCTCTATGCTATTACCAACAATCAATACGAAACTATCGATTTTAAATTTGCTCACTACTTGACGAGCCTATTGGTCCCAAGCAAACGATTAACATACCCCATTCTAGTCGAAATTCTAGTACTACACTATGTTTGTTTTGATTCGCTATGGAAGTTTGACAGATAAAATGAGGGGTTCGTGGATTTTCCTTTGTTTCGAGGGGTGCATCGATTAGCTTGGGACCGAAGAGAGTACCAGAGCTGAGCCAAAAAGTTGAGCACGTTTCTTCGAAACTTTCTAGTCTTAGAGTTATCTCTATGCTATTACCTTACCTGATGATTCGAGATCTCAGCAAAAATATAATTTGTTAACTGAGTTTTGGCAAATGGGTTGTTTAATTTTGAAAAGATATTGGTTACTATACATCATCTGAAACTCGATCTGAACGGGCTTCGTTTTCTGAGCACAGATATTTTTTTTTTCTTCGAACTTTACTGTTTAGCACTAAAGTAACAAACTGACAGCACGCTCCTATACAAAGTCCCATTAATTGGCACGAAGGTGGTTATTTTTGGTCATGTAAACGCATCTATTTAAAATAGTTCCAGTGTTCCAAAATTGTTGAAATTTGCAATACCTTTAAAGAACCTAATTGAAAGCTCGCTCCCATACAAAGTACCACAAAGGGGCTCTAAAACTGTAATTTTTGATAATGTATTAATCCCAGTGGCGTCTCGTCCATATGTGCACCTCGTGCACTGCACAGTCTCGAATTTTCAAAAAGTAAAATTTATATTTCATAAAAATTAAGAGGCAAAAATTTAATACTGAATTAAAATCATTTTTGTCCGCCCTATTTATTGGTTTCATATGGATAGTAACTGAATTATCCACCACATCACTGGATAGTAGCTGAATTGTTTACCACATCGCTGCTCAACCTCCGTTTTAGCGTTTTAACCACCACTGAAAGAAATGTACGTAAAAAAGAAGCGAGGCATAGCGATCTTGTTTTCACGTACGGGCACGCTGGGACTTTACAACACTCTTTTTGGGCTTCTATGGCAAATGAGCGACACAAAACAAGCAAGGAAAATATGCCGTCGTTCTACCAAAGCCACCGCATGCTTAGTTCTCCCAGTCTGAGCACTTATGCTTGTGCACCAGAAACGCTCGTATTTACAACCAGATCAGTTGTATATGTATTGAAGTCCCGTAAGCATAATTGCCGCTGTGTTAGTGTTTATTTTGTGCACTTCTATCTTTGCACAGTTTAAAGAGAGGAGAATAAATTGGCACGTATAGGCAACGTCGCATTTGAGTTTCTCTCTGAATTGATTAAATCTTGGAGAGCCGTCATTCGTTGTATACCTACCTACACGCACACATCGAATTTTTAAATTTTTAAATTTTCTCACTACCATGTCTGCATTTCATTCAGTAGCCTTAGCGCATTGATGGAATATTGTTCATGGCATAGTGCAAAATTAAATAGGAATTATGGAACAGGATATTGTTGATGATATACTGAAAAGACCGTTTGCCAGAAGATCCATGGAGGAATAAATGCTTATTGCGAGAATGGACGTCCCACGACAACTTGAAAACGACATGTAAAAGAAATGGTAAAATCATAACGCGGAACTTTGCCGAAAATGGACAAGTGGAAATTGTTGGTTGTGTCACATGCTCGAGGAAATTGCGCGGGAAGTGGAGCATTTCGAGGAAATTGCAATTGGCGTCAACTCTACGCTACTGCTTAGGAAACGGTGAGTAACGATGACAAATATCATAAACATGAGACTTAAAAAGAAAATCAATGTTTCTATGCAAGAGTAAGCAAAACTGGTAGCAGAACTGTTCCCCATTATCATTTTTTTTCAGGTACCCCCGTCGAAAGATTTGTATCCCATTTTTTTTTATTATGCATCAAAATTGGCTTCTACTGTTACAGACAAAATATAAATAAAATAGGTGCACAACTAGTGAATTTTCTCACGTGACGCCACTGTAATCCATATTTAAAATAGTTCCAGTGCTCCAAAATATATGAAATTTTGGATTTCAGTTCCTTTTGACATGCAGATTACGAATATGCAATTACCATAATACCGCTAAAGAGCCCAATTGTTTTACTGAATTACAGCAAAATAAATTGTAGAACTACAACATCCCCCTAATAAATAAAAACCATAAACGAATGATAACCCAAATTATTGAACTATTCCACAAATGTTTTTGATGATACCCCGAACACGTCGTTAAGCAAAACAGAGATTACAATTTTATTAGGGTCGGAAAAACAAAATTAAGTGTGTTGGACTAAACCGATTGGCGATCAACTTCATAAATAAGCTAACAACAATAAAACCCTATAAAAATACCGAGAAAATACTCAAAAATATACACTTCATAATGAATTTAATACACTTTAATACAAAAATGCACAAGAATTAAATATAAATAAATACGAAAAATACAAAATACACCTTTTCAAGTGTGGTAGATGAATCGAAAATACTCAAGTTGACAGCCCCTCGAGCTAAACTTCGCTATACACGGAAAGACGAAATAACTCAAAACCGAGATATAATGTACTTAAAAATCAGTACTCCGTTATCACCACAGTTTAGGATGAAAATTTGTTCTCATTGATGAGTACTTTTAAAGTTAAACCTGAAGTACAACCAGAACTCTTACTTTTTGTGAATTGTACTCAACCAGTAGTCTTGAGAGAGTTCTTATTTTTGAGTACATTGTATCTAGATTTCAAGTTGTTTTGTCTTCCGCGCTATGAAAGTATCCAAAATCAAGTGTTGCGATTGCACTTAATTTTGGATGAAAAATCGTAGCCTGTGCCATATTTATTTTATTCTGGCTTTGTCGTCTGTTGGAAGCAACAGTTTTGTGAATTTCCCATACACTGGATGGGCTCAGGATTCTTGAGGTGATGACTATAAACCAATTAGACCAACCTCGGAACCAACGGACTATTCGATGTGGTAAGTTTGCGTCATCCATGAGAACTTGAAGGCATTGAATATGAAAGGAATTTTCATTTATTTTAGGCATGATCCGGCACGGGCTACACGAAACGAAAATCAATTATTTTATTCATGTGTTTCACTTATACATTTTTGCCAAAACATCAGCCTTATACATTCCATAAGACAAACCACATAGGTCCTATAAAAATTCATAAAAGGTATGTGTGACCGCTTATGCATTTCATTTGACACATGATGTTCATTAACTTTTTGCAAGGCGTTTGCTTATTAGTTGACTTATACATTTTATGAATGATCAGCAATAGAAATTTGCCAAAAGGTATAAGGAGATTTCTACCCGTGTATGATATTCAGATGAGCAGTTTCGGGAATAGAAGTTTTCCGCTGTGGAAGAACATCCTGAGAGCCAAAAACGGCCATCTGCACATGGGGACCAACAGATGGAAATCAATACGATTCCAACGTCCTTTGGGTTGTCTCATAAGGATATGAGATCATCAGTTTGCCAAAAGAAAGGTACCATTTTCATCGGAAAATCTGTCGGTGTTGGTCAGCAACATGATTTCACTACCCGTTATGTTTAATTATAATGCTTATACCTATAAATACTCTGTAAATGTCTTCAATTAAAAACATTTCAGAATCTAAAACATCAAGAAGACGACCGAGTAAACCAACGAGGCCGTGGAGATGAATAGCCAGCATTTGAAGTTCACTTGCAGGTTGGACTGATAACAGATTCAGCTGGCCGGTTATGATTGGACGTCGTTGCGTTCCGTTTCAAATCGGAATACTTGTCTGAGAAGAACTCAAAAAACTGAATACTCCACGCCAAGTTCTGGACGGCCACATTTAATAGTAATGAAGAATAATATTGTTTGATTAGTTGAAAATTGTTAAACTGTTTCATACGAAAAATAATAATAAATTTGTTGATTATAATGCTCATTTTAAGAATTCAAAATAAATATTTGAAGAATCAAACTTCCAGTATAATTTATTAAAATGAAAACCCGGTTTTGAGTAGATTTTACCAAACATTCACTCTTAATGAAACAGTCGAATTTGACTCAAAACGATGTCTATGCAAAATACTTAAAATTTGATATTTTGCAAAGAACTCAATTTTGAGTGGTTGCACTTCCCGAAAAAAAAATAATTATAATAAAACAACCTCGAAAACAACGAAATTACAATGATTTTTACTGTTGAATTTTGAGTACATTAAAATTTATTGTTAAATTATTGTACGGGAGAAAAAAAAATCGATTTTTAATGATACAATGCTCAAATAACGAAAATTAGTGTGATGAGATCAAATTTGTTCGGGAAAAATCACTTTTTTATATTGTTAAGATGCTTAACAAAATTATTTCATGCATCAATCACAAACGGACCACCTATTGCAACTCAATGACGTTTTTACCTATAAGGTCCAATCCAACCAATGACTTTATATAAGGTCTGGCCAACAAGCAGCTTGCTGGTGTTAGAAGCAAAAATGTTGTAAACGTTGCTGAACATCTGCGAACAGATAGAAATACGGAATACGTCACTGCCAACATACTGACAACAGTTAGAAATACGTCACTGCCAACAGCTGTTACGTGTAAAAAGATAAACATTGCAATAAAATACGCACACCACTAAACATTTGCACACGTCACTAACACCAACAAGCCCTTTGGCTCATACCTTATATAAACGTCTTTGCAATCCAACAGGTAGCTTGCTGGTGTTAGAAGTATACATATTGTAAACATTGCTAAGTACTCAAGTGATGACGTCACTCTACCATAGCATTCCATACTGCGCAATGTTTTTATATAAGGTCCGGATCAACAGGCTTTTAGGGGTTAGTGAAATGTGCAAATGCTTAGTGGTGTTCGTATTTCATTCCAATGTTTATCCTTCTACACGAAACAGCGGTTGGTAGTGACGTAAATCTCACTGCTCGCAGTATGGAATGCTATGGTAGAGTGACGTCGTCACTGGAGTGCTCAGCAATGTTAACAATATTTATGCTTCTAACGTTGGCCAGCACCTTATATAAACGTCATTGCATACTGCGAAAAGTGAGATTTACGTCACTGCCAACAGCTGTTTTGTGTAGATAAACATTACAATGTAATACGAACACCACTAAACATTTGCACATTTCACTAACACCAATAAGCCTGTTGGCGCAGACCTTATATAAATCCATTAATCGCAACTGAGTCGAAAGTTCAAAATATTTTAAAAACTAAACTGGAACTGTCAGTCCAGTAGCAATCAGCCCGTGGGTTCTCATTCTTGAACCGATCGTAAATTACGGTTCAACAAGGCAGCGTGGAAGCCTAAATTTAATTCGCCTCGGATCGAGAATTTAACATTCTTCCAGCATTTAGTGTTTTACAGCCATCCATAGCTTTATATCCGGTAAAATTCGAAATATGCTTTTCAAAGTAAGGCACGCAGTTGCGAGGTAAGTATCCGACTTTACAGTTATGTAATTTTTGTATACGTAATTAGTTACTCGCGCTGATAATGTGGTATCAAACCGGTGTAGTTGCAGGTTTCTGTCGACCAGCTCTCGGTATGGCTCGAAGAGTGTCCCCACACGACAGATCAACAAGCTGCTGATAGCCAACCGGGGTGAGATCGCCTGCCGTGTCATGCGTACGGCCAATCGGTTGGGCATCCAGACGGTGGCGGTCTTCTCCGATGCGGACGAACGCTCCCTGCACGCCAAAATGGCCAACGAGGCGTTCAACATTGGACCGCCGTCTTCGCAGCAGTCCTATCTGCGGGGTGAGAAAATTCTCGAGGTGGCCAAAAACGCCGGATGTCAAGCCATCCATCCGGGGTATGGGTTCCTGTCGGAGAATGTTGAGTTTGCCGAGCTGTGCCAGAAGGAGGGTGTGATCTTCATTGGTCCTCCGGCTAGTGCTATTCGGGATATGGGCATTAAGAGCACCTCGAAGCGCATTATGAGCGAAGCTGGAGTCCCAATTATCAATGGTTACCACGGAGAAGATCAGTCGGACGAGCGGTTGATGCAGGAAGCGAAGAAGATTGAATTCCCTTTGATGATTAAGGCGGTTCGCGGTGGCGGTGGGAAGGTGAGTACTAGAGAAGGGTGATGATGGGAGTTTTGAATTGATAGTGATTGTAATTGTAGGGAATGAGAATCGCTGAGACGGAGGCGGACTTCTTTCCGGCGTTGCAGTCGGCGAGAACCGAGTCGGAGAAGGCTTTTGGAGACAGTTCGATGCTGCTGGAAAGATACGTTCGCTCGCCACGGCATGTAGAGGTGCAGGTCTTTGCCGATCACCACGGAAATGCCGTCTATCTGTATGAGCGAGACTGTTCGGTGCAGAGACGTCATCAGAAGATCATTGAAGAGGCACCCGCTCCGGGATTGTCGGAAGAGCTGCGTGCACAACTGGGTGAGGCAGCTGTCCGAGCAGCCAAGGCGGTGAACTACGTTGGCGCTGGTACGGTTGAGTTCATTTTGGACAAGGAGGACTTGTCTTTCCACTTCATGGAGATGAACACACGTTTGCAGGTGGAGCATCCGATTACGGAAATGATCACTGGTACGGATCTGGTTGAGTGGCAGATTAAGGTTGCTTCAGGAGAACCGCTTCCATTTACGCAGGAACAGATTCGTAAAACGGGGCATGCTTTTGAAGCTAGAATCTACGCTGAAGATCCAGCGGGAGGATTCCTACCCGGAGCTGGTCCTTTGGATTATCTCTCCACGCCGGTACCTTCCAGCACTACCAGGGTGGAGACGGGCGTCCGTCAAGGCGATGAAGTTTCTATCCATTACGATCCGATGATTGCGAAGCTGGTTGTGTGGGGAGAGAATCGGCCAAGTGCCCTTCAGCTGTTGATCGAGCAGTTGCGTAACTACCAGATCGCCGGACTGCAAACCAACATCAACTTCCTGATTGACCTGGCCAGTCACGGACACTTCCAGGCGGCGGATGTCCACACCGGATTTATTGATCAACACATGGCCACCTTGTTCCCGGTGAAGACGGTTTCGAGCCAGAAGATAGCTCAAATGGCACTGGCCTACGTTTTGAACGAGAATGCCAGCACCCGTAAGTCGCTGAATCGGTTAAATCCGTTCGATTCGGAGCTGAACTTCCGTCCGAACTATACGCCTAGTCGGAAGTTCAAACTGAAGGTCGGCGAGAAGGAGCACCCGGTTGAGGTGAAGTCGAAAGGAACGGACTTTGAAATTCGCGTCGATGGAGGCGCTTGGCAGCAGGTGAAAGCCACTAGGAAGCCCCATGAAAATCGGTTCCTGCTGCAGACGAACATTGATGGACACGTGTCCTGCTTCAATACGGTGATCGAGAGCGGATCGATTGCGTTGTACGATGATGTGAGTATAGTATAAGCGTTGTTTCAATGTTATAGCTGACTGCAATTAAACGTCTTTCAACAGAGCGGCCTCACTTCTGCCGAAGTTGTCCAGCCCCGGTTCGTGACCGCCGAAAATGCCATGGAAGGAGCGAACGCCGGATCTGTCATCGCACCGATGCCCGGAGTGTTGGACAAGGTATTTGTTAAGCCTGGAGATTCGGTGAAGGCCGGAACACCGCTTGCCGTGCTGATTGCCATGAAGATGGAACACGTTCTGAAGGCGGCCAAGGATGGCATCGTTAAAGCCGTTCCCAACGCCGAAGGTGACAACGTCCGAAAGGGAGCGGTTTTGGTTGCTTTCGAATCAAGTTAGACGAACGAGTGGAGAGCTGGAGCCACAACAAGCATTTAAACTGCAACAGTAAACCAGTGGTGCATTTACAATTACAGTGACAAATCGTGCATTTATTAGAGATATTTTTGTTATTTTTCATTTGTAGACTTCTAGATGTCTAGAACAGGGCTCAAACGAATCCAACGCAAAGCGTTGTAAAATTGAAGAATTAATCATATTGTCGAGCAGTTTTAGGACGACCTTCTATTGGCGATTTTAAAAAAATGAAGCAATAATTGCAGGGTTTTCAAGTTTAGCATAAATAAGACCCTATTTTCTCGAGGTTTTAGAAGACAAACATATCAAAATATAGTTCCACGGCATAGTTTGAGTGATAGGAAACGTCATTTAAACTGCTCGAATGATGTGATCCGTCGCGGAATAAAAGTTTTTGACATTTTAAACAAAGGATTTCGGCATAAAAAATGCGACAATTTTCCGAAAATCCACCCTTTAATCAGTCCTTAGCTCTCCTCCCCTTTCCGGTGCGTTTTCTGGTGTCTCCGCAAATCCCCCGCCAGATAGAAAGCCGCCGAGCATTGGTCACACTTTTGTGTCTTCACACCGGAATGTGTCAGCAGGTGTGCCTTCAGATGGTTCGCCAGCTTGAATCGCTTCCCGCAATCCTCACACTCGAAAGGCCTCCCCTCGGCATGGCTGACCAGTACGTGTTCTTTCCTGTCGTTCCCATTCTCGAACAACTCGTCGCACAGCTCACAGGCAAACACCGTCAACCTCGCATCCTGAACTCCCATTTCCGTTGCCCGTTGGTGCTTTTGCTTATGCCGATGGAACAACGACGAACTGTGGAACCTCTCCGGACACTGCGAACACAAGTAGGAAGGTGCCGCCGTATGGCGCAGCTTCTTGTGCTTATTGAGATCACCAATCCGAACGAAACCCATCGGGCACTGGGAGCACTTGTACGGTTTATCACCCGTATGACCTCGCCGATGTTCTCCGACGTGCTGCAAACTCTTGAACACCTTCGGACAGAGATCACACGCAAACGGATTACCAGCAAAGTGCACCCTGCGGTGGAGCAGCAGAAAGCTCGGATCTTGAAATACTTTGTAGCAAATATCACAGAAAGTTTCGGCGTGACTCTTCTCCAAATGAGCAACGAACCCCTCCAAAGTATCCGCCTTTACATTGCATTGAGTGCAAATCTTTTCCTGTGTCGTTGAATCTTTCGCACATTCCTCCTTTCTTTGCTTCGATTGCTTCTTGTCGTTTCCAATCCTGACATTATGCTTCTGGTGACAATGGCGAAACAATTGACTCCTGGCCGGAAACTCCAATTCGCAAAATTTACATCTGAAAACAGTCTTACCGGCACGCCTCAGAACCGTTCCCGGTATGGTGTGGTATCCGTCCATGTGCCTCAGCATGTTTTTCATACTGCTGAACGTTAGTCCACACATTTCGCAGATGCATTGGGTGACACTTGCGGGGCTTTTGCGGGATTTTCGAACGATTTTTGTTTCCGGTGGTGATTCTTGCTTGACTTCGACTTCCCGAACGAACTTCCCTAGGTAGTTGTGCTTCAGCGATTCGAAGGCGTTCACTTTCTCCAGAAGGATTTTAAGTTTCCGAAGGCGTTTCAAACGATGTTTCTCGTTGATTGGGCCATCATTGTTACTGTCTAACGAACGTTCCAGTTCTACTTTGATATCTTCCTTTTGCGACATAATGCACTTGTGGTCGTTAGCTTCTCATAGAAACAATGCACTGCATCACTACTTTTGTAATAATTATTAAATGTTATCCTTTCGAACGTATCAAATCAAGTAAAACTCATTTAATTTAAAGGATAGGTACGTGCGGAGATCGCAGTTGTTTTGTTTTGATAAGGAAGAATGCAGAAAAACATAGACGGAACTGACATTTTTTTTTAAATCAACAGGTATTGGACTAAAAATTCAACACGCATTACACCGTCCAACTAAATACACCGAGAAAAAATCAGTTCGGTTCACACGAGAGGTTTCTACTAGAAATACTCAGAGGGAGAGATAGGCGGAGAAAACAAAATACAATTCGGCAGCAGGTATTTGTACCTAAATTATCTTGCAACCCTTGCTAGAAGCTAGCATTTCACATGACTTTTATTTTTGATTTGATTTACGTGCAAAATAATAATTGATAGCCACTAGCGTGCACAGGAACCTTGTTAAGGAGGGGCAATTTTTTTTCTATGGTGCATTTAATATGGAGATGTGGAGTATTCCAAAGTGCGTGGGAGATGGTGCTGTTCACCCGCCACTGTTTCCCTACTGTTTAATGTAGCTAATTTTATTTACTGCTTTCCGACAGCCAATGGAAATTGGCAATTTAATCCTATCGACGATGTCGATGATGAACTGTCCCAAACTACCGCCGGTTGGGGTGACAGAAAATGATGCAGAACATTCAACATGTTTAAAGATGATATAAAGGACAAACTTTCTAACCACGGTAACAAATGACTTGAAATTCTCAGAGAAGAATTTTAGACGAATTTTTAGTAAGACAACAATAGACCAAGGTTCAATGGCAAACTAATACCCACCCTCAATTAGAGAATCCAAAAGCTGTCTTTAAACTTTGTACAGTTGCAAAAAAGTCCATCCTCAGATTTCCTTGAGGTTATTTTCGAAATTTTTAGAACTCTGTGAGCTCTTTTGAAATACTTCTCAGAACTCCTCTGGAATTATGTTTAGAACTCTTCTTGACTTTTACTCAGAATACCTTGCAACTGAAATTCCCTTAGAGTTTCAGAAGAATATCCTCATCAAAATTATTCCCGGCTAGAGCTAGAAATTATCGGTACTCCCTTGAAGTTTTCTTCAAAATCCCTTTGGAATTTCACTTAAATTCATTTTAGTCGGTATTATTTCCGGAATGATCTTGTAACTATCTGCAGGATTCTCTAGAAATTATACGCAGAATTTTCTTGGAATAACCCCAACCTCCCGAAAAATTCTTTTGAACTGTCCTCAAAATTCGGTATCCTTGAGATTCTTCTCGGAATTTTTTAGAACGCTCCTTAGAGCTCTTTTGAAATTCTTCTCAAAAGTCCACTGGAATTAAATTTAGAACTCTTCATGATTTTTTTTTTTCAGAACACCTTGGAACTGAATGAGCTAGAAATTATCCTCGGAATTTGCTTGAAATTTTGCCTAAAATCCCTTTGGAATTTCACTCAAAATTTGATTTTCCCAGTATTCTTTTCGAAATAATCTTGAAACTATCTGCAAGATGCACTAAAAATCGTCTGCAGAATTTTCTTTGAATTCTCCCCAGAATTATTTTGGAACTGTCATAAGAATTCAATATCCTCGAGGTTCTTCTCGGAATATTTTAGAACTGTTTTTCATAACACTTTGAAACTGAAATTCCCCTAAATTTTCAGAAGAATTTCCTCTGCATTCTCCAGAAATTCTTCCCAAAATGCACTTGAAATTATCCTTAGAATTCCCTTGAAATTTTTCTCAACATCTCTTTGGAATTTCATTCAAAATTTGATTCTCTCGTTATTCTTATCTTGGAACTATCTGCAGGATTCACTAGAAATTATTCGTAGAATTTTCATGGAATCATCCGCAGAAATGTTTTCTTTTAGAGCTGTCCTCAGAATTCAAAACCCTTGAGATTCTTCTCGGAAGTCAAGTTTAAGTTGTCCGCCCATTCGTTGTAGTTTTTCTACCAGAAATGTTGAATAAAGCTTCCCCTCCTTTCCCCAGAACTGTGCATTTTTTACATCAGGAATTTTCAATTCAGCTTGCCTCTCCATGTAGCAGATTGTTGCAAATCTTACATTAGAAATTTTCAATACAAACTTGCCCCCAGTAAATTTTACACCAGACATTTCAATTGATCAGAACGATGCAAATTTTCCACCGTTAATGTTCATTAACAATTGCTTCTCCAATCTTCTGATTGGTGCAGATTTCCTTTTTCCATTTTCCACCAGACATTTTCAATATAGCTTGCTTCTCCTATCATTAGAATGTTGCAGGTTTTTCACCAAATAAAGCTTGCCCCTATTTTCAGACTTTTCATCATAAATTGATAGTAAAGACGCTTTCCTCCAATCATCAGAACGGTGCAAATTTTACACCAGAAATTATTATTAAAGTTTGTTTTTCTATTCAGCAGAAGGATGCAAATTTAAGGACAAAAATTTTCCAAAAAGCTTGCCCATCCGTTTACCAAAACGGTGCAGATTTTCCACCAGAAATTTTCAATATAGATTAATTTTAAATAAAACTTGTGCCTTCATTTATCAGACTAGTGCAAGTTTCCACCAGAAATATCCCGTTCATTTCATTTATCAGAGCAATGCAAATTTTGCAACAGAAATTATCAATAAAGCATGCTCTTCCATTCACCAGAAAGGTGCACCAAAAATTTTCAGTGAAGTTTGTTTCACCATGCACCTTTGTGGTGCAATTCTCAGGCTTTGCCTCTTCGTGTACCAGAATGCTGCAAATTTCCCAACCTTAAATTTTCAATAAAGCTTGCATTCATCAGAACGATGCAAATTATGAACCAGAAAAATTAATAAACTTTGCTTCTACATTCACCACAGTGTTGCGAACTTTCCACCAAAATTTTCAGATAAATGTGCTCCTCCAAACTTTTAGCTTGATTCAATTTTTACACCAAAGTTATTCATTTTGATTAGTTCCTCCATGCCCCACCTCGATGATATTTTTACACCAGAAATATTAAAAAAAAAGCTTTTTCTTCGATTTACCACCACGAAGGTGAATTTGTTCAACCTTAAATTTACCCTCTTTTTTAACCCTCCATGAACCACCCTGAACAAAATTTAAACCAGAATTGTTTTGTATGCACCACCAGGTTGCAATTTTTTCACCCAAAAATTTAATTGAAGTTTGTCATTTCATGCACCTTTGTGGTGCAATTTTCAGGCACCATCTCAAAGGAATTGACGCAATAAAAGGATTTCAGTGGCCTTATTTTATGAAATGAAATAATTCTACCTTCAAATCAAGTTATCAAGAAATTAAGTTATTTTATATTACAATTTTGTAAATATGAAAATGAAAATCTCTTTTATGAAAGGAGGGGCAATTGCCCCACCTTGCCCCACCCTGTGCACGCCACTGTTGATAGCATCGCAATATTTTGCACATATCTTGGTGTCATTAATTAACCAACAAAGATCAATTAATCAATACACTGAACAAATTGCAAAGATTGTTTTTATGTGCCCCACACTTAAATTTTTGCATGTTATCAACAAATGTTCTTGATGTGTCAGACACATACTTAATATGTATACACATAAAAGTCATGCTATTCATTTGACTCATAAAATTCATGTGTGCTTCTGGGTGGATTCTGTTTATGTGTGGTCACATGAAAATTATGTGGAAATTTCACATGCACACTCAATCTAGCTCGGTAAAATCACCAACAGCCGATTACTTCGGCATTTAGTTTTGCTGATATCTCTGCAAACAATCTGTTTGTTAGCTGATATCTCAGCAAGATGTTATTTGGTACCTGAGTCTCGGCAATTGTTTGACTGAATCTCAGCAAAATAAATTACAGAATTACTCGGCTGTTGGAATCTTGGCGAAAATTTTAAGTGTGTGGAAATACGTCAATAAAAGTGTGTGATATTTTATTAGTGTACACGCTTAGACAATAATACCGAACTCGGTTTAATTTTCTACCGAAACTCTTCGGTTACCAACGAGAAACCGAATAAATGGTTTAAAAACATTTTTTCAGACGCATTTATCGAAGCAGACCCGAATTTCGGTAAAATAATATAAATTTGACAGATAGAAATGGAGACTGAACCGAAAAGTACGGTAAAGTATCGAAATTTACGAATTCGCTACGTGAAAACCGAGAAACTCGGTAAACTGAACCGAATATTCGCTAAAACGTGTTAAAAAAATTTTAACCGAAAAATCGGTTCTCTAAACTGAGTCTAATATTAGTCAGCCATTTTTTCTCGCGTGTGCTCGTCAGACGAGTGCAAAACTTAAGAAAAATGGAAAATGTTCTGCAGCTGCAGCAGGAGGATGCACATTTGAATGAAATATTTTGTAAGTATTTGAAACTAACGGTATGATTTTATTTGCAGGCATCTTGTGCAATAGTTTTTTTTTCACTGCCGTGAAAAAGTCATATTGATATTTTTTATTGTACCATTCCACGCTGTAACTCGCGTTACGGAAGTTTTTATTCACCAAAAAAAAACAAATTAAATATATTTTATACATTTCTTTGACAAAACTGGTTTTATTTTTATGAAAATTCAAAGCAACGCATCCTTAATCAAAATTCAAAACAGGATTTGAAGTGGAAACCGAAGAGAACCGAATTCCGTTATTACAACAGGTGGGTCGGTTTGTTTGACAGCGTTCGGTAATTCTTGAGTAAAGCGCTGTCCAGACTGGAGAGTTATAACATGTTATAACGGTTGTCAACTAATTGCAACACAGAAACCACCATCAAGATAGCGCTATAACATGTTATAACTCCGTAGTCTGAACGTACTATAAACCGATGTTCGGTTATTTCTGCTCAAATTTATTTTTCGTCAACCGAGATTTTCGGTAACTTTGACAGGCTGTGGGTAACAAAAAAAATAAGGACAGCTCGGTTATTCCTATTTGAACCGAACAGACTACCGAGCGTTCAGCAGATAAAAACTCGGTTGAAATCAAACCGAGTTCGTTAATATTTTCTAAGTGTGTAGAGTTAAAATCTTGTTTTTGATTCCAAAAACTAGTTGAATTTGAGAAGCACACGAAACATAGAGGTGATTGATTTTCCATTAGATTGTAATACTCTCAAATTTA